GGTCTACCTGTTACCAACGTGTTTCAAGGTCGGCTTGAGGGGGCCTTAGCTAAAAAGTGGGGTGGCTTTCCCTTAAAATTCAATTTGACCAGGTCGCTAAAGCAGAAGGTCGTAATTTTGGCTGCTAAAGTATCCCATGGTCGGCGTAGGGGGCCTTAGCTAAAAGCGGTTTGGCTTCCCCTTAATTCGATTTGACTAGGTTGCCAAAGCATAAGGTCATAATTTTGGTCGTCAAAAAGGCACTGAGCGATTGAGCTGCCAATGTATCTCAAGATCGATGTAGGGGGCCTTAGCTAAAAGCGATTTAACTTCCCCTTAGAATTTGATTTGACCAGGTTGCCAAAGTGGATGGTCGTTTTGTAGTAGCTTTAAACGTGGTTGCATCTATGCCATCACGTGGGATTGACTCTCCTAAATCTACGTTTGTGGGTCAATGCCGCACATGTACTGCACCTTGTCCTTGAACTATTGGTCATCCACTCCTACTAGATCCATGGGGGGGCTCACCTTGAGGGGGTGGCTCTACTGTCTGCGGGTCGCCTACTCTCACGGGACCCATGGATCGCTCGATCAATAGTGAGGCTTTGTAGTTGGGATGGGAGAAAATCTAGGCAAAACCACTGAAGCTCACCTAGGTTGGTCGTCTAGTTTCTACTTCCTTATGATAGTATTGTTGATATGTGCGTCACTGTTGGTGCTTGAACGACGGATCGGTGCCACGGCTACATTACGTCAGCCCTTAGAAACGCTGGTTGTCTTGTCCTATGATAAGCCACAGGGAGCTCAACATGTGGGGGTGGCTCTACTAACTGTAGGTCGCCAGCTCGCACGGGAGCCTTGAAAGGCTCGATCCACAGGGGTGATCGTAGAGTCTGTTGGCTGTCGACTCCCGCAGGAGCCACGAAGGGCTCAACCTATAAACGTGACCTCGCGAGTAGAGTTGACAAGGCTCATCCAGGCTGATTACTATTGAATGTGAGTTTAAAATTAGTTGAGAACCTAGCTTTTAAGTGAGTTTAAAATTAGTTGAGAACCTAGCTTTTAAAATTGATGATGTGCGATTTAGCAGCTCCTTACTAGAGGATAGCTCGGACACCAAGCTAGTGAGTTCCCTACTGGAAGGTGGCTCGGATGCCGAGTCATCTAATTCGCTAGGTCGACCTGCAAAGAGACAGTGTCAGAGTGCTCGAGTTGCTTTACTTGGGGTGGGCACTTCGATGCTTAAGTTAGCGGTGTGGAGATTTTAGAGAGAGCTAAAATGCTTGAGAGCTAGAAAGCTGTGAAAGCTATGTTGCACATACTTTATGAGGTTGGAAATGAGACCTTTATATAGGCGTTGTTTGGCGTGGGCTTCATGCACCACATTCTAGATCTCTGGGAAGATGTGGCTGGCCGGTCCGAAGTCCTTAGAGGTAGTGGTGCACGTAGACCAGGCTTTATGCCTTATTTGGTTTCCTTCAAAATATTCAATTTGGGAGCTAACTTTCGGAAGACTCGGGAGTGACGAGATGCAGACACGGAGGAGGTCGGCGAGCACGTCTTTCGGGTCACCACCTAGACCTCAGTCGAGTCGACAAGTCCTCGAGGGACATCGCTCCTCGTGCCAAGGTTCCTTGGACTGGTAACGACATGGTACTACAGGTCAGCCCTGGACGAGGTGCTCGTAGCCGCCTTATCGAGGTGCCTGAGTTGTGTATGGGGTTGCCAGTTGGGACTCTATCAGGTTGGCGGAGGTAGGTCGCCAGCTGGGTCTCCAGTAGGTTGACAATTGGGTTTCCATCATTTTTGGCTAAGGCAAGTCATCGCCCTCGTGGTGTCAGGGTGTCATCCAACAGTTATGAGATGCCACGTGTCATTATGTCAACGGAGGGCCAAATATGCCCTCATCAATTACTATTAGAGCATATTTGGGAGGGATAAAGTTTTGATTGAATTGCTTTGGAGAAACTACTAAAAGAAGTTTTGGCATAAAGTTGTATTCTTGGTTGTAATAAGATAGTTATTTTAGGTTTGGTTATTGCCCCAGTTAAAAGAGGCATGATGTTGAATAGGAATGGCAATGGGGTGGGGATCATATTCCCCGTCCCGACCCCCGATTTTGAAATTAACCCCCACCCCCATCACCGATCCCCGTGGGGGATAAAATTTGTCCTTCATCCCCGATCCCCGTAAGTTTTTAAATAATAGTATTTTTTGAAAAATAAATAAAAAATTTAAACTATAAATAATATTTTAAATATATTTTGACATATATAATTGGGGTGGAGACAACAACCCCCATTCCCGACCTCATCGGGTTGGGGAAATCGGGTCCCAATCAGGGATTGAGAAAATTGCCATCCCTAATGCTAGAAGTTGTTTGACTATTGCCCTAGTCTAGTAGGCCTGATTATCCAACTATTCCACATAGAGCTGGGTTGGGCTAAACTTTAGGGCTTCCATAGTGGTCTCTGCTAGATGGGCTTTGTCCAAGATGCTAATAGAAAACAGTTGTAGATCTCTCCATCCGATTAGCTACATTTGATATCTGTGCTCAATGGCGAGTTAGGAATTAATTTTCTTTTATTTGAGTTATATATATATATTTTTAGCTTATATAATGAAAAAGTTTTATTAAATCAATTACATTATTGAGATTCGCAACATAAACAACAACGTAAGTATTGCTACAAAAAAAAAAAAATGCACAAATGATATTATGGGTGAGAGGAGAGGACTGTCTTATCTTTTGGTTACGTTTCGTGTCAACTATTAAATCTCATAAATATTGGGCTGTCAACGGGTTGGGTCTAGGGGTTATCATTTCACCCTGGCCCGGCTCGAAAAGTCCGGGCTTGGGCCTGGGTTTTGTGTTCAGGCATGGCTCGGGCCCAGGTCCACATTAGGTCCACAAATTTTAGGGTTGGGCTTGGACTTAATACTTTAAGTCTAGTTCGGGCCCAGTCCAGCCCGCATATATTTAAAATTACACATTTTGTGTATAATGTATATATATGTATATATACATGTTATTTTATATTATATTATATATTTTATATATAACATGACATGTATAATTTATATTATATGTAATATTTTATATTATATAATATATAAAATAAAAGTTTATATGCTTGTTATGTCATTTAATATAAAATATTATAGATATATAATGTTTTATATATGAAAGACATTGGCCCAGAATTAGGCATTGCCCAACCTGGGCCCGCGTAGACTTGGGCTAGGGCTTATGATTTAGGCCTGGAACCCTGAACTGGGCTGGGCCTAAGCTATAGCCCTTATCATAAGTGCAAAGCCCGGCTCGGCCCGACCCATGATCACCCCTAGTTGGGTTTGGGTCGGAATCAGCTGGAATTGGAACCAACCCAGTATGAAATGTTGAAGACTCGAACTTGATAATTCTCGGGACAGTCAGGTCTGACCCGATAGACCCGATTATAAAAAATAAAAATTAAATATTTATGTTGAATATATATTAAATATTCTATATTATATGTATAGCATATATAATTTATTTAATATATTATACATTAAATATATGATCCGAATTGGTTCCGGACTAGGTGGAACCAGTTCCGAACTGATAGTAATCGGGGCCCTATATAAGAACCCACAATTGACCCGTTGCTTCCAATTTCCGGAACAAGAACCAGCCCAATCTTTTTGGGTCCATCAGGTTAGACCCGACCCATTAATAGCCCTACATAAATACTACTTAATTCTAAATGTAATTGAATTATTTTTCCCATGGACTCTTCTTGTCAAAAACAAGAAAATGAGAAAGAGAATAAAAGAGGTAGGGTTTACAGAGAAACAGGGAGTGAGGGTTTCGGTCTATTATGACCTTTTTATGAAAGAAAAATGGTTTTTCATTCAATCATTGGAGTTAAGTGGGCCCGTGGGGGGCATTATAGAGTTAAGACTTTTAATATTTTAATGGATTTTTTTTTTGTTTTTTGGGAGCCAAAACCCCACTTTATTACCTATCCTGTGTTGGGCCTGTCTAAACCAATAAAAATGGCCCACGTCGGTCAGCAAATGCACTTACCCCGCAGGGCTGATATGGGGGTATTATAATTGGATAAAGCATAGCCATCTAGAGAACCTGGGGACCTCGTTTTCCATTACTTTTTCAGCTAAGCTTATCCAGTATTCAAAATTTCAAAATGTGATAATTTCGTATCTGAATTTTTAAAATGTGACAATCCAGTACCTGCCATTAATCAATCCATTAATTAACCGTTAAGTGATATTTGAAAAGTCAAAAATGTCCTTTGAATGCCATCTAATTCTCTTTATCAACCATCCAAACGTTGATAAAAAATTAAACACTCCCAAATCTTAGCCTCTTCTATTCAAAAAATTTGATAACTATTTAAAAGAATCTAGAATTTGGGACTATTCATTTTATTGTTAATGTTTGGATGATTGATAAAGATAATTAGATGGCATTCTTAGGGCATATTTGACTTTTCAAATATCACTTAACAGCTGGTTAATGAACTAGTTAACGACGGTTACTAGATTGTCACATTTTGAAAGTTACGAGTACTGAATTCATTTTAGAATTTGGGGACTAAATTATCACTTGAGCCAAAATACAGGGTATTGATTGAAAATTTTCCCTTAAAAAAATCATAAGATATAACTTGGCCACATTGTTTGGTGGTGCATATTGGATTTGATCTTCGGAAGTCGCTGATCCAAATGGGCCTCTCTCTCTCTCTATATATATGTACATTCTATATCATATTTAACATTACGCATAATATATAACCAATATGTCTTGTGGTATTAGAAATTGATGGATATATCTTGATCGAGTAAAATTACTTATTTTGATTAGTTGGTGTAAAAGTTTTTAGGTGATAAGGAGGGGCAAAGATGAAAGAAAATGAAGACCACATTTTCAACCTTACAGTTTTAACGTCCCATGCACGTACACATACTATTTAAACTTAAGCAACTACAAGCAATAACCGTTTGGTACAAGTTTCCACCAATTCTATTGTCTCACCCAAATCAAAACGACAGCTTGCTCTTCCATTCCTGAGGGCGAGGCGAAGACTGGTAGGAAATGGGAGGGGAGCCATGAACGTTAGTTGAGTTGGGGGGTAGAGAGAGAAAGCTTGGATCGACAGGAAGAAGAAAGAGAAGAATAAGGAGGAACAAAAAAAAGGAAGAAGAAAGAAAAGGAGGAGGAGGAGGGTTGAATTTTAGAGCAGCCACGAATTAATCGGCGGTCTCAACTCTCAAGAGATGTTTGGGTTTTTGGGAGGTGGATTTCTGGAGGAGGTTGTGATTGTAGTCGGCTTGATAATCGTTCAAATTTTTTATTCGGTTTATTCAGTGGCTGTGGCTCGTCTTCTGTCTATTGGTTTCAGCCCTCTCTTTCTCACTATCTGTGGAACTCTTGCCACCTCTGTCGTCCTCTTTCCTCTCTCCATTTGTTTTGAAAGGTGAGAATAATTTTATTACTGGAATTACCTTTAGTTGTTGTTCGTTAAAAATTGTTCCGTAGAATAGAAACTCTTCCTCTTCTTCTTCTTCTTCTTTTTTTTTTTTTTTTTTTAAATAAAATTCTGGCATCTGTCTGTTTAAATGCCACAGGCACAAATGGCCCAGGGAATTCAGTCTCAAATTGCTGATTCAATTATTGCTTCTTGGCTTTGCAGGGTAAGGAATTTCATTAGTTTTTAGCAGAAAAAAACAGGTCCATATAAATTATGGGTCTGTTTCGTTGGCAGAGTCTGATAATGGAATTGGAATGGACCATCATTTGGTCGGTTGGAATTGAAATCTCATTCTATGGATAGGGCGGAGTTAGGAATTTTTTATGAGGGGGTCAAAAGCTTGGAAACATAGGTAAGGGGGTAAAAACAGTATTTAAATGGGTTTTATGGGAATTTTAAAGGCATAGGAGGGGGGCGGGGGGCATGGCTCCCCTCCGCCACCGCTTGGCTCCGCCCCTGGGAGTGGGGGGAGGGGGAAAAATATACATGAGAGAGTGTAATAGACGTGGGGATTTCTGAGCCATATGGGGGCCACGGCTCCCTTGGGTCCCTCCTGGCTTGGCCGCTGCCTATGGAATGGCATTTCTTCTCCCCTCACTTGGGGATGAGAATATCAATTCCAATTTCCGTCTGAACCAAGCGGGCGGCAGAATAGACCATTTTGATTCTGATTTCAATTCTTACCGAGAGTTAAACGGACGCTATATTTTCTCCATTTCCATTTAATTTTTTGAAGAAACAATTGTGAAAATTATTCATGTTTTGTTCATTTTTAGGGTAACTCTTTTCCAAGTCTTCATGCTAATAGGCGTCAAGATGACTTCTCCAGCAATTGCTTCTGCCATGCCCAATCTTGCTCCAGGGCTCATCTTCATCATCGCCTGCTGTCTCGGGTATGATTTCGCTTTGCTACAAATACACACATGTTGACATGAACAAACAACAAGCACATAACATGATCCTACATTTGATATCCCCTAAAACTGACATGATTCTGCTTTTTTGTGTTGTAGTTCCCATATGTTATGTTTGGTTTGAAGGAAAAGGTAGGAAAAACAAGGAAAAGGTAAAGAAACCTATACAAGGTTAAATGCTTCCTTTCCTTTCCCTTCTTTTCCCTACTTTTTTCCTTTAAACCAAACACAGCCTAGGTTGGTCCAACCAGTGGAAGCATATAGGACGATAGAGTTTAGACTTACTGTGTTGATGTTGACGATGATGATAAAGGTATAACTTAGGCAGTTTTATTGGGCCCAATGTATTAAATATGGCCTCAAACGGTTAAACCTATCTAAACTGATAGATGGTTATGTATGTATGTAGTTGGGGCTAATATGGGATGGGCTAGGCTTGGGCTACCTAAGGTTTTGGGCCTGGGCCAACTTTAGAATAAAATCTAAGGCCAACCTATATAAATTTGAAGTTGGGCCTGCCCAAGTTGCGCTCTAGATGATGATGGAAACTTATATTACATCTACGGGAACATCTCATTAAATATCATCATATATCAACCATGTGATTACATTAAATTAAAATAATTAATTATGTATGGCATTACTATAGAGGTTTGGGAAGGGGTTTAAAACAATTTTTCATTTTCCAAGTTGAGTCCAGCCAATTAATCTGCTTGATTTACCAACATATTATCTTTTCTTCCCTTCCTCTTACCTCGTTTTCTTCTGCTTTGGTTGCAAAAAGATATTGTTGAAACCAAGGTTGTGCTTGGCACCTTAGCTGTTTTTACTTGAAACGTTTTGATTTGATCAATATAAAATTGTATATAGTTGTTATTTGGGTCTGTTTATAGTTGAACTAGGTCTATTTTAAAAATACTAGTGATGGAAGGACCGAATCTGTTTGTAAAAACATGAAATTGACATTTCTTACTCAAGGGGTGTGAAGTTTAATCGTTCTAGTTGAAATAACTCTCATATGTGATGAACAACACATATCTCTGACTAATTTGTATTGATCAATCCAAAACATTTCAGGCAAAAAACAACAATGATATCAAACACAACTTTGATACTCTCAAGTTCTAATTATTAGCAAATCACCTTTTACTATCCAAGGTTCAAACTATCAATATTTTACAATCTTCAGAAAAACAAGTTAAGTGATTGATCAGGATACACTTGGAAAATGCTAGAATATAGTGGAATAATAAAAATAAACATTATTGGATATGATAGAGAAATCCATCTAATTAAGGGGGTGTTATGTAACATAGATGAAAAATTGGGTAGTGTGTTTTTATAGTGTGGATGAGAATGCATCACACTTCAACACGCTATTTGTTCTGAACCATGGACAAAGAAGTGTGGATTGAACTACACTACACTCCCATAGGCGTTCTACAAGATGTGGTGCATTTTAGTCAACACCTTGTGTTTTGACTCCATGCATCTCACCTACAACATGTAGGGCTATAATTGGATTGGACTCGAATCAGATGTAGCAAAATCCACATCTGATCTGATTAATGAAAACCTGCATCTAAATCCAAACGGATTTAAGTATTCATATCAGAATACGAATCCTAATAGACCCAGACCAGATTTAGATTTAACCAGATTTTGCTTTAAATTTTTTAAAGTACTAGAAAATTTTAACATTTAATTATTTTCATATATAACATAATATATACAACATACTTTTATAATTTTAAATATAATTATATAAAGTTTATATATTAAAATTAATAAATATTATAATATAATTGGATTTGGATGGGTCAAATCTGAATCTGATTAGATTACATAAATACATCAGATAATCGGATTGAATGTCAAATGGGCCTCGGATTTTTGGGTATCGGTAACAGGCCTAACAATATGTAAGGCGATTATGTTGTTAATAAGAAAAAAACAATATTTTATTTTATAAAAATAAAAGAAATCATTAGGTTTCCAAGAGTACTAATTTTATATAAAAATAATAATTAATAAAATATAAATATATTTAATTAAAAAGTAATAAAATATATACATTGAATTAAAAATGTGGGATAGATTGGATAAATCGTACCATGCAAAGCATGGAATCATTCTTAGTAATGTGGATTTGTCAATGATGAAAACCTATGGGTGAGAAGTTTACTTGTGGTGTGTACCGATCGACGAGATAGTGTGGATCCATCCACACCATAGGCCAACCGAATATCTTTAAGAGGTCATGGTGCATTTCAAAACACAATATATCGTGGTCACCAAACATCCACTAAATCTCACAAATACATCAAATAACACAGATTCTACAGCTCAATTAGCTATAGATCTAACAAACAAACACACACACAAACCCTTTATAATTCCTAAACTTGTGTGTAAATTCATTATCTATTTAAAGATAAATAAATTTGATTATTTCATTATTTCGATAAGTATATATAAGATGGATAATTCTAACTACTGACACCAAATTAGTACATAATGCTGTCGAGGGTTCAAGGAACCCATGCCCTAGATATGAGATTTTAGCTTCCCCCCCACCAATCTAGCTATGACATGGATTCCCTGAACCCTCAAAACGTTCAATGTGGCTCAAGCACGGTATAACAACTCTTTAATATTTTGTAGTTTTTCTCTGTAGGTTTGAGCGAATCAACCCAAAGTGCATCTACAGCAAGATCAAGATCATAGGAACTGTTGTGTGCATAACTGGGGCAGTTATAATGAGCGTTTTATATGGTCCTGGAGTCTCAAAAGCAATTCCGGATACAACAGCAAAATCCCCGACCCTAAAAGTACTTACCTTGATTGATAAAGACAATATCATCGGTTGCATCTATCTACTTTCTGCAGTTTTCATCTTATCGTGTACCATTGTTTTGCAGGTATGGTGATCCCTTGAGCCCTGATTAAATGGGAGGGATTTAGTTTTATTATGGTTGTGTTTGGTTTGAAGGAAAAAATAGGGAAAGGTAGGAAAATCTTTACAAACCTTTTCCTTCAAACCAAACATAGCCTAGGGGAAACTGTTTTCTTACCAGGCTTCTCTGGACAACATACACTCTTTTTGCCACGTGGACAGCTCACATTGCCAATCCACATTGCTCATTAGACAAGGAATTAAGGACCTTTGGTTAAAACACTCAGAAAATAGTGATCATTTTAGACACGTGGCAATCTTTTAAGCTGAAATTTACATTATAAATTTGTCTTAGATTGGAAAGAGTATAAATACAAATATGCAAATTGCAAAGCCTTAATATTTTGTATTTCAAAACATCATTAAGTTATTACTGAGGCTCAGTTTGAAAAGAATACAAATACAAATATATACAGTACAAATACATACAAATAAATACAATATTTTGCATTCTATATATTTGTATTTGTACTCCTTCCAAACTGAGTCTAAACAATTAGAGGAGATCAATGCCCCACAGTGAACTCCATTTTGAGTAGATTAGAAACTCTCACCTTATACATTGGGGATTGTGATGAGTTCTGATTTCCTGCCATCACAACCACACATGGAGAACATCTCATCCTTCTAGATAGTATTGTATACGGGGAGATGTTCCCAATGCACGGGGGTAGTGTGTTGTAGGTAGATGTGAATAGGGTTCTTGTGGGTAGGAGACCCGAAATCGGTTGTGACACCCTCAAACTTTGTTTTGCAATGACTCCTCTCCTCTGTATTCTTGATTTTAGAATTTTGCCCCTGTCTCAGTTTGGAAAGAGTACAAATGCAAATATGTACAGCATAAATACATATAAAATAATACAAAATACAAGGTTTTGCACTCTACATATTTGCATTTGTACTCCTTCCAAACTCAGCCTAAGGCTTAATTTGGAAGGAGTACAAATGCAATTATGTAGAGTGCAAAACCTTGTATTTTGTATTATTTTACTTATATTTGTACCGTACAAAAACAAATATGTGGAGGGCAAAAAGCTTAATAGATTTGAGAAGGTTGACAATGAATGTGTACTTACCAAATTACCCATTGAAGATTTTACTACGGACCAACAACACAAATTACAAAAATACCAGTTTTGAAGCACAAAGGGCAAGGTCATGAATTACCACCAACCTTTGTTGAAGATGATGAACCGCTTGTTTAGTTGGACTTTCATAGAGGGCATGAGTCGCAATCAGCCTTTAATGAGAAAAATATTAATAAAATAAATAAGATAATATTAAATAAATTAATAAAATAAGAAAGATAGTTAAAATAATAAAATAATAGTTAAAATAATAATAGTAGTAGTAGTAGTGAAACATATATTAGTAAAATTAATAAAATCATTACAACAATTAAAATATAATCAAAGATAACAAAATAATATATAAAATAGTTACAATAACAATTCAAAATAATTAAATAAATAATGGTAATAATTAATTTAATAATAATCAAATAATTAACATAATGAAAGTAATAATTACAAATAGTTAAAATAACAAATTACTTACATTATTTTAATCATATTATTATTATTTAGTTATTTTCAATTACTATTGTAACTATTTTATATATTATTTTATTATGTCTAGTTATATTTTATTATGCTTAAGCTTAACTATGATTGTTTTTAATAATTAAATTATTTATTAAAATAATAATAATAATTTATTATTATTTTATTATTTCTTTTTAGTTATTCTTCAAAATATTTTAACTATTATTTTATTATATTTGTTTTTATATTAATTGTATTTTAAAAATAACGATTAATATCAATTTATTAATTAATGTAAGTATCTATTCTCATAATCAATTATTTGGGTAAAATTGTAAAGTAACTATATTCAAGATTCAACATTCAGGTTTCAACTTAACATATTCTATATTCAGATATCAAATATAGCAAAAAAACCAAATTTCAGATCATTTTTTCTTTTTAGACATCAAATTTTAGACCAAAAGAACAACATCTAAGTTAAAAAAGCAAAATGATCTCAAAATTAAAAGCAACATAAGGGTAGTTTGGTGTCTTAAAATGTATAAATATTCACATGTCAGTTATGCCTTATATATGGGAATATTCCATATAGTTAACTGAGAGAATGGTAAGAAAGGTACAAAAGTGCTGGAGTACAGAGATCTGTCTTTGTTGCAAAGCAAAGTTTGTTTGGGAGGCTAAGTGTCACAACTCCCGAATATTATTTAGAGATAATCCTCAGTCCTCACCATTTCATTGCATTTCCTTGCAGAAAATTGATCAATGATTTCATATATATCTTTAGCAATTACAAGCTGACATGTTCTTAATTTTCCAATATTTTTGTATCTTCGGTACTCAAATGTTCCACAGGCTGCAGCTTTGGGTGATTTTCCGGCACCTATGTCGGTTAGCGCCATTACTTCCTTTATTGGTGGAATCCTAACTTTAGTTGTACAGTTGATTGAAGACCATAGAATTGATACTAGTTGGCAACTTGTGAGTGCTCTTCAAATTATCGAGTATTCTCTATTGGTAAGCATAATAACCCTTTTGTTTTTTCTTTTCTCCTCTAATTTAATATTCCTCAAGAACATCCGATCCTATTGCTCAACTTCTATGTACGTAGTCCTTTCATATTAATCTCTGTTGTTGTCTAAAGTCTGAAATATGTAAAGCTTTCTGCTTTAAACTAATTGAAGTAGACGGATTATTGATTGTTTTCTTTACTTAGTCAATTTCAAACCTGACTTCATCTAGGAGATTTCTTTTTAACTCCAAAATTTTTAGCCCTGTTTGATTCGTAGGAATAGGGGTTTGAAATCAGAATTGGAATGGGTTATTCCGTTTTTAATTGTTTGGTTGAACAGAATTGGAATCTCATTCCCATTCTTATTGGAATGACATTTCCTCATCTGAGAATGAAATCTCATTTTTGCTGATTTTAATTTTCATTCCCATTCCTGTTTTAACTAAACAGAATATGAGAATAGACCATTTTGATTTCGATTACGACCGAAAATCAAACGGACCCTTATTTTGTTTACTAAATTCAATCCAGTATCAGATTCAACAACCCAAATATTCTAACAGATGGTTAAAGGAGGTGAGTTGCCTCAAGTTGGTAGTAGGCACTAAAACTTCTACCAAATTCTCATCAACAGGATATTATCTAGGCAACCGGTTCTATTTTACCCCAAACCCGGTATTTGGCAAAAAATCATCGAAAAAATCAACAATCCATTGACTCGGGCAGTCGAACCGTTGACCCATTTAATGGTTTTGACCATTTTTTATTTTTTTAATTTGTTTGTCAGAAAGGGCCGTCTGTTCTAACCGGACCATCAGACTATCAACCGGAAAATCGATGGTCAGAACAATTCCAACGTTGATTTATATTTCAATCATCCAATCTATCTATCTATCCACACATACACACAATTGAAATTGGGTTATATATGTATTTGATCTAATTATTGAATGGTTCCAACTTTGAGTTCCATTTGTTTATGTAAATCCAAAATAATTGGATCCGGTCTTGGACTCTCATACCACCACATTGAGTCATTGACAGCTCTAATTCAGATATGTGCATAAACCTATGTTTTATCGGAAGACGCATTGTATTACATAGATCTGTGTAACTTGTTATATCATACTATCACCAATGCTGGCATGATCATCCAACCTTACTTCTACTGTTGCTTCTATTCTGGATTCAGAGTTTTTTAGACTTCAAAAGAAATTGTCTACAATTATCTAGAAGTAGAATCTCCTTGTCAAGTTTTATACCGTTGAATTCAAAGAGGGGTGGGTATTGCCTATGTATACTTAAAAAGGATAATGAATTCTAACTAAGGGCCTGTTCATTTGCTCTGAAATCTGACATATGAAAATACAATAATTACATTAAGAAGTATATTGGTATTGGTGAATTTTTCTTTCCTCTGAACTCTAAATGCAGAGAATGTTGTTCTGAATTCTAAACTCTGAAAATTATCAAATATCCATTTTGACTCCATATATGAGAGTTTTGTTTGTCTTTGGGGGGATATCATTGGAAAATAAACAGTTGTATGATTACACTTTAAGAGATAAGAGGAAATGAACAACCATTTTTCTCTTAAAATTAAACTATTCCTCTTAAGAGATAAGAGTTAAGAGGAAATAAATAGGCCTTAAAAGCTTGGGTGTGTTAAAGACCTGTGAGTTAATTGGATCACTTTCATTTGTTTGATGATTTCTTGTGTGTCTCCCCACATTTGATGTTCAAAGCTTTTGTTAATGCAGCTAGGAGTTTTCAGTGGACTATGCACTAGTTTTAGTGCTTGGGCAGTGAAGAAAAGAGGCCCTGTCTTTGTGTCCATGTTCAATCCCATTGGAACTGTCTCCTCTGTCACTCTTTCTGCCATCACCCTAGGTGATTACATCACCCTAGGAAGGTATGTATGAATTTCTTTTTTCATTCTATGCCATTTGGTTTGTGGGAATAGGGGTCTGGAATCGGAACTAGAATGGACCATTCCGATTTCAACTGTTTGGTTGGGAAGAATCGGAATCCCACTCCCAATTTTGATGGAAAGACATTCCCCCATTTGAGGTAATGGCCATTCCCTCTCTCTCGCTTGGGAATGAAGTCCCATTCCATCTGATTCCAATTTTCATTCTGATTTATGTCTTAGCTGAATAGATTACGGAAATAGACCATTCCCATTCCAAATCCAACTTTGAACCAAATGGACGCTTAGTGTGGGGAGAAAATCCCCTCTCTCTCTCTCTCTCTCCATGCTTTCTGTGTCTATAGGTAAAATTTCAGTATGGGTACTGAACAGTGCTTGCTTTGCAGCCTGATAGGAATGTTGATCATGTTTACGGGACTCTACTTTGTGCTATGGGCTAAGAAGAATGAAGGATATATTGTCGAAGAAGATGTTCTGAAGTTGAAACAATGTGATTCAGCGAGGCCTCTCTTGAGCTAATATTTTCTTCATTTCATCAGCCATTAGTTCACTCTCTCTGTATTATATATACTCAAGTTAATTAGAACCTCAGACTAAAATTGGCTTAATTGCTTCTTCAAATGATCTAGTCATTGACAAGATGTATATTTAACCTGAAGTAACACAGTTGGAGTCAAATCAAACTGTGAAACCATGATCATTGGTGGTGATGTATTTTAATTTAGGGCTTTGGATGCTAAACATTAGAATTTTACAATTGGGCTCTTCTTGCAAAAGTAGCCCAATGGGCTAGAGTTCTAATTGAGAGCATACACTTCAAATTGACTACTATTTGGAAGGTGAAGTTAGGCCAACGTCCATCATAGGCTTGGTGGAGTCTTCTGCTGGGTCATGATTTGTTTCAGAAAGGAATGATACGACATATTTGGAAATTGTAATGGATAACCTGTGACAGAAATTAGGTGGCGGAATTGATTCAGAAAAGGTCCAGAAGAAGTAATTTGCAAGTGCTCCAAAATCTGTTCACATCTGCAGAAGCAGAATCAATTCTGAAAAGTGAAAATACCTCACTTCTGTGCATAACTTTGTCTCAAGCCCATTCGGTTCCGTTGGTGAGAGCCCATCCGCTACACCTACTAATTTGCATTGGGAACATCTTCCCATGACAAGTACTAGAGATGCACCTAATGCCTGCTGATATGTGGAATATGCTCTGTGGGGTATGTTTTCATCCCCACATAATGCTTCCCACACCATTCCCACAGCATATTGCAGTTACACATTGGAAACACTCCCAAACTTGTATGTTGCTATTCATGGAGAGATATTCCCAATACACAGCTGCAATGTGCTGTGGAGAATATCCGGACTCAACACAAACTGCTTCTTAATTTCCATTGTTGGCATGCATGTTTTGGATTGGAGGGTCGCAAAGGATTGCTGCAACCATGGTCACAGCACATGTAAGCCTGAAATCAAATTGATGACCTTTTAACAACTGTTTCAGTGTTTCTTGTAAACACGGACAGGTTAGCAATGGAAAGAAATTAAGGACATAATGTGAATTGATTCTTAATTTCAATAGCAGGCATGCCCGTGTTTCATTGGTGGGGTGTGAAGAACTGTTAAAAAGGGGATAAGTCTTTGTTATGGGGGCACAGGATCCATATACATCCCCACTCTTTTCATCAGAGGAGTCCGGATCTCCTGTCCATAAGAATTCTGTTCACATCCATTCATATAATATTTTAGTCATACATGAAAGATATCTCATCCTCTACATAGTATTATGCATGGGGAGATATTCCCAATGCATGGAGATAGTGTGTTATGAATAGATATAAGCAAAGTCCTTATGGGCAGCAGATCCGGAGTGTCACCAGAGTGGTTGAAATCTTCTATATAAGATAATTTTTGGTGCACCTGATTTTAAATAGGACCCAGCTGATGGTGAGTTCCAATGCTCCAACAAGAATCAGACAAGTGGCAGGTTGTGGGAACTCCAGACCCATGACCCATGTATTGATCAATATGTCCCCAGACTGCAGCTCTGACCTTGCAAATGGGCATCACCCTACTCATTCTGAAAAGGCTTATTTCAACCACTATTACATTGGATTAAGAGATTATTTTGACAGTATGATATTGACATCAGAGAGATTGATCCATTAAAAACCCACATTCAAGAAAAGTAGGACAAAAATGAATCAACCCTCTTCTGAAAATAATAAAAAATCTAATGGATCATTAATATGGGTGGTTTTGAGTACCTAATCAACTCAATGCAAGTATATGTAGAGATTTTGTTATTATTTTCGCAATGCATACAAGAAAGAAAGAAAGATAAGTTGGAGGCTTCAAATTGAAGCCAAACATGAATGAAATGAACTACTGTAAAAGTTATTAAATTCAAGCCCAAACTTCAAAGTTCATGACAAACCCTTGGTTCTAGTTCCTCTCAAGTCTTAATCACTTTCTTGAAACTAGCAGTTGACTGGAAGAGCTACGCTTACACCCAATCACCCATACCTCTATAAAATAATGAAAGGAGCATATTTGGATCCAGAACATGCATGTGGCACTACAAGCATCATCCCATGATTTTTTCAACTTGATAAAACCACACCTTTATTTTTCTTCCTTCAGTACTGTTAATTATAATTTCCATTGACCCATCATTTACTACATAGGGTTCTCCCAATCGTCCCCACCCTCAAATTGATGGGCCTGTTTGGGAAGACTTGGCTGCTTTCACTGAATGAATTCATGATTAGGGTTTAGGTGGGTTGAGTCAAGACACTTTGGGTTGATTTTAGGTTGGTTTGAATTTTGGATTGGGTACGGAATATCCGAAAAAAAAAATAATTTAAGTTTTACAAAATACAAGAAAAATGTCAAAAATAAAGGATTTAACCCTAAAATTCTAAAAATAAAATAAAAAACTTGAGTATTTAACAATTCAAAGAATAAACATTAAATAGTAAAAAATAAAGAGTGGAGATTTCTAACAATACATAAATAATCTCAATTAAACCTAACAATCTGTCATTCTCAAATTCAGGTACCTAAATATGATACCCTAATCCTGTTTTTTCGGATTAAGTTGAATCAGGTTCACGGATTGAGTCAACTCTTTGCCAGGTCTACCAGAAGCTGGTGCATGAAGCACTAACAAACGGACACTTGTTGTCTAAAGGGCTTTTCTGGGGAGAGAGAATTGATCGAAGGGCAGATTTCATGTGTTGGATGGAAATACACCATGTGAGCAGTTTGATAAAGAAGAAAATTACTTAATTTCATGTTCTCCTGGTCCTGGTGCAGGGGCACTCCTCTTATTTAATTACTACTGTGACTACTCAGCTTTGCTGGTAGCTTTGGACCAGGGCAAGTGAACGAATTATAGGGACTAGTTAACAGTCCATCATGTCACCAACTACCATTATAGTCAACCCACTACACTCTACACTAATTAAAGAGTGGCATTTGCTATGTGGGGTGGGTTTTCTTTGTTCAATTAGAGTTAGCTGAGTGAAGTAAGGAGTGAAAGAAAGTCCATGTCCCAACCCCACCACTGTTGAGACCTCACCACCAATGTTGAGATCTCAACTTCAACCTATTTTCTACCAAACATGGGTCTGAGTTTTGATTGTTTCTTGCAAAGTAAGTCAGTTTTGCTATGTAATGCCTTTTCTTTTAATAATTTTGATAGGGTAAGTACTTCAAGAAGAAGGATCCATAAGGGTTCATTTTTGGTTTTAGTTACTCCTGATTTTGATCATTCTTTTTAACTTTCAAACATCGAAGCAGTGTTTGAAAAATCGATCTGAAAATGAAATCACACTTTTCAGTTTGGGTGGTAGGTCAGTGCTTCAACCATCGTCTTGTGACTGTAAATTAAATAATAAAAATATAAAATAAATAAAATTACAGAAGAATACAGAAGCTTTCAGAAAATTTTTGTAAATAAATTAGAGGTATCTATGACATTATATGTTCATCGTATTAAAAAAAGTGTGATAGTTGAGTGTTATTATTATTAATGATGTAAATGGCCCAAAATACAAAAAATAAAATAAAATAAAAAGAGAATTAATGTCAAATCCAAAACCCACTGATTAGGTCAAATGATTCAATGGTTCAACCAACCGGCTCACTAAGTTGTTGACTTAACCAACATTTTGTTTTCAAGTAATTAAGCAGTTATTGGGTGAAACCGACCTGAAAATCTGGTCAGGTGAGGGATTAACCTATCTGATCGGCTGGTTCAACACTTCAACTTGGGTTGAAAACATTGCATTGAATAGGTTGGCATACTACCCACTTCAATTCGGGTTTGGGTCATGTCTAATCCGTCTATGGTGTCATAAAGACCGAAGAAAGGTAGGATCTAGAAGTGTAGATGAACACTTTTCGCCCACATTATTTTATGGGTATAGTATACTGTATACCACTTGCAAATCTGACATATACCCATGTTGGGTCTGGCCGTCAATATTCACAGAGCTTGCCTTTTCCCTTTTTAATTTGTGTTCTTTCTTCTTCTTTGATTTGTTTTCTAATATTCCATAGGACTCGCCTAATAAACAGACCAAGTGGGTACGAATCAATTGAACTAGAGGATCACTGGCTCCATTTGATGCCCCATATATTCTAAAGGTGTAGTTTAGTGTTTTCTTCTTTTAATTTTTGCCTTAATTATTACTTCAAAAGGGTAGCCAAGATATGTGAGAATATGAACTTCAAAAGTTTCATTGCTGGCTGACTTATGTAATAAAATAAAAGAAAAAAAGCTGCTTTCAGGTACGGGTTTTTAGCAAATGGAATGAATGGACTGTGTATACGAATGTGGAAACTTTAGAAAAATAATGAGAAGCAAATGGGGTGAAGATAAGGGAGTGTTTTGATTGGGTTAACAAGGAAACTTATGATTCAAGGAATGGAAGATGATCAAGTCATTAACCCATTGTACAAGTGAATTAATGGGTTGTTGAGTCTTCATCAATTAGTGAGAATTGATTTCAGTTGAGGTAAATTGTGGCATGTGAAGCTGTGCCAAGTGAATGAGAAAGTTAAGAGAGAAGGAATCTATCCTAACTACCTTATTTGCTTTGTGTTTTAGTTCAAAGAAGTTTTTTTGCATTACAGAAAGATATATCACAAGTAGATTGGTCCACTTGAGTTTTTTCTTTTCCTTTTTTTTTTTTTTTAATTCATGTTAGGAGTGGAATGGTGACACAAGTTAATGGACCTTTACCCCATAAACAAGAGTGTTTAGAGTCATTACCCACCCATTTGGTGGGCAATTCCACCAGATCTCATTGGTTCCACCAGCTGTAAACTTGGGAACAGCTTCATTGTCTGGTTCCACTGTTTCAGAGAGCAGTTTTACTGATTTGCTTAGAGACTTGATTGATCTGTTTATTGGGTTGTTATTAATTATAATTGAGGAGAGAGAGAGAGAGATGAGTGCATCATAAGTCGGTGTTCTTAATGAAACGAATAATTAAGGATGGATTAATTAATGTTCCATGACGAAGGCAATCCGTCACCTTGGTCTTTTATCATCCCGAGCTGGTCCAACCGAGATCACATAATCTGTACTCTGTAGCAATGTTTTACGAACTTACTCGATACCGGAGCTGCTTTAACTACCAGTTTCCAGTTCAGTAATCCAACCATCCAGTTCGAATGGATTCAGTCTGTAATGTCTTACAAACAAAAAGGAAAACGGCCCGAAATTTGTTGTTCGGGTCAAAT